AAAGACCACTGAAATGAAAAAAAAAAGAACTTCAGCTAGCAACGCTGCAGAAAAAGAAAACAGAAAAACTAAACGGGGCAACCTAACACCGAGAGAAGTAGAAGACAGACTACCATTAGAGAAGAGCAAAAAGTGAGCACACCATCATTAAATATATTGGTAAATGGAGCAAAATCAGATGGAGCTTGTGCAAAAACAAATAAAGGAAAACAAAAACTATAATTTCAACTCGCAAGAAAATAAAGGAAGCTTCAGTTTAAAAATTAGCTAGAAAAATCTAACAAAAGCTGACCTCAAAATTGACTTCACCGATGCATACGGGAAAACATAGTTATGAGTGTCTGCTGTGAGTAATTTCTAGAAAAAACCGATAACAAACAGTACTACAAACATAACAGACTAATACCTAATCAGTACACTAGTATCCAGCAGAGCTTCGAGCACAAAAACCTGTGGTCCGAAAAATTTCACATCAAAAAAAAAGATTCGAAAAAATTATACCCAAAGTTTTTCTGTGGCAGTTTTTTTTTTGGCTGAGTGTAGGTTAAAGTTTAAAAACGCTGTTTTCTTTCTTACGTTCGACTGCTTTTACTGAGTGACTTCCTACCAGGGGCGGATCTAGGATTTTCTCGAGGGGGGGGGGGCGGATTTTCAAAAGAAAAATTCGAAAATTTTGACGACCTTTTTTTTTAGGTCGATCGAATTATAATAACAATAAATTGTTTCCAAACGATATCTAGTTACGAAGTTATTTATAAAAATTTATAAATACAAATTAGAATCGTTTGGGAGAACACCCTTAAGCCAACAAGGCCCGTTTTCAGGTGTCTCATTAAGCGGTTAAGCGGAGAACAAAAAAAGTACTTAAATTCTTTGATCCAATGCAATGGATTTTCTACCGGTAACCATTTATTAAACGTAAAACCTTTTTATTCGCACCTTTAAACCAATCTCTATAAAAAAATTAATTTAGTTTTCTCAGGTAGGCTTTTCTACCCATAACTTCGAAACCAACAGAAACAAGTTCTATTTATTGATCAATAAAAAGTCTCAAAGCATGCCCAGTAAAATCGTATTTCCTAGAATGTAATTATCCAAAAAATTATGATTAAAACTATTTAATTGAAACCGAGAAGCCCCTTTCAAGAAATTGACCCAGGTGAGGAAAAAGTTTATTACAAAGTTGAACATTTTTCTAATTTTAGGTATAATCGACCCTCTGTTGAGTTTATTTCTGTTTATAGATAACTTTTGATTTGTTTTTCGCTTTGAAAATATCAAGTTCAATTCTTGTTTTGTAAAAGAATATCTCAAGGTTTCAACTTGGCATTCTTTTTGAATAATTTTTCCGGTTATTTTCAGAACTTCGTAAGCAAAAAATTCTCTAACGGTATATATTTTATTATCATGCATTATTTCAGTAATTGAATCCATCCTGTCCTCATAAAAAATTATTCTAATTAGCCTTCTGATTTTCATTTCCAGTTGTAACAGTTTGGTTTTGTCGGTATTTGCATAAACTAAAACTCCATATTGGATGATTGGTTGCACCTAACTTTTATACGCAAATATTAATTGACGTCCAGTTAGAAACTTTCTCAATTGAAAAAACACTCCACAGAATTCCAAAATTTTGTTCTTTACCTTATCAATATGATGATGAAAATTCAATTTACAGTCAAGGAGAATTCCAAGATATTTAAAACATTCAACATCTTCTATTTGGGTGTCATTTGAAAAATAATTTACTGGTTGTTCTTCAGTTTTCGTGCTCCGACAGTATCTAATGGTCTTGGTTTTTTTGACATTCAGTGTCAATTTATCCTTGTCTAACCAATAATTTACTTCAAGCAAAGCTGATTTATGTGCAAAAGCAAAATAGTCTTTGTTGTTTGTGGATTTCAGAACAGTGTCATCAGCATACAAAAGTACCCCTATGTTTTTTGTGGCTATTTGTAGATCGTTTATGTATAATATGAACAAAAGTGGGCCAAGGATAGATCCTTGAAGTACACCAAAAGATACTAGTTTAAGTTCGGTCTAAAAAGAGTTAGTTTCAATGTACTGATAGCGATTGTCAAGGTAAGATTCCAAGAGATTTAAGACAGGCCCTCTGAATCCCATTTGTTCCAATTTTTTTTAACAGATTAGAGTAATCAACTGTGTCAAAAGCCTTTGTTAGGTCTAAAACCGTATTCTGAACTATTAGTTTTTTGTTCGATAGCGATGTTGAAACTTCTTCCAACAATGTAAGGATGTCGTCAACAGTGCTTCTATTTGATCTGAAGCCAAACTGAGTGTTTCGGATGATATTAAACTTGTCTACATATGATTGGGCTCGTTTAAAAATTATACGCTCAAAAATTCTGCCCAGAACTGGAAGAAGCGAAATTGGTCTATAGTCCGAGGGGTCATCGTTGTCTCCCTCCTTGAAAATTGGTACAATTTTTGCAATTTTTAAACAATTTGGATAGTTTCCTGAGGTTAGGCAGTCTTTAAAAACTTCAGTCATAGGGCCTGCTAGTAGAGTTTTTAACTGCTTGACGAAAACAGTGTTGATATCATAGCAATCTGTACTGTATTTATTTTTAAAGCTTTCGATGACTTCAATGAATTCAATTAAATCAATTTTTTTCAAACACAACGATTGCTGCTGACCTATAACATTGTTTTCCATGCAGTTTGGTTTGCTCTGTGTAAGTCTGGCTCCAGTATTTGCGAAGTATCCGTTAAAATGCTCAGCGTCCTCCTTAGATAGATTTAAAGATTTAGAATTTTTCCCTTTACCACTCATTTCCTTAAAAGTTTCGAAAAAAGTTTTCGTTTTACAATTAGACTCAAGCATTAATTTGTTTTGATAGTATTTTCGTTTTTTACGGATGATTAGTTTTTTGACAATTTTATTTTGGGAACTATTTTTATTCCGGGCATCCGTTGTTTTAATATTCAAAAACTCTTATCGTAACCGTCGCTTTTTTGCAGCAGCATTCTTTACTTCATTGTCAATCCATGGATGTCTTTCTGATTGTACTAGTAAACGCTTTGGAAAAAAGTATCAACTGCCGTCATAAGGATCGAATTTATTTTTTCCAAAATCCTAGAAGACATTTGAGGGTCTTCGGGATTCCATAACTGCATACATTTGCCAATCTGATGTTGCCAATAAAAACTTAACTTCTCACTTAAATCCCTTTTTTTCAACTTGATCCAATTTCTAGCAAAAGTTTTTTCAGTACAAACGTCCTTTTTCAGAAAATTAAAAAAAAACAGAACACCAAAATGATCAGACACTGAATTTTTGATGGTTTTGGTTGAGAAACTTGATGTACAGAAAAAAATTCAATGAAAGTGCTACTACGTTCTGTCACTTTTGTTGGGAGGCAGCTCAATTTGTTTTCTAACGTGCCATTTCCTATCATAATATCCTCAATTTTTTTCCGCTTTGTCGAGTTTAACAGAAAATTTACGTTGAAATCACCACAAACTATGTGATCAATTTCAGGCCCTAGCGTTAATCCATCCAAATAATTTTGCAGGCTTTCGAAGGTAGCGTTGTTTAGAGAATTTGGTGGAATGTAAAGAAAGGTTACTACAATTTTCTGATTTATTTGGGTTTTTATGAAAACTGACAAGATTTGGACATTGTTATTTTTTTTTGTTTTATTATCCTATGATCTGACCCTGTGTTAACATAGATGCCGATACCTCCTCCTCGTTTAACTCTAGCGCAACTATAGAGAGGTTCGTATCCTTGAATTTGGAAAATATCATTGTCAGAGTTATTTTTGAGCCAGGTTTCAGTTAAACAAATGATATCTGGACGTTGGGCCAACTGTTCTATTTCTTATTCAAATTCTTCAAAGTTTCGGGGCAGTGATCTGATGTTTTGTAAAAACACTGAAAAAGTTTTAGAACTTGTTTCCTCCATGTCTCTGTTAATCATATGTTCTGAGTACTATATAATTCTCGCGTGGTTTAACTAGTTGAAAATTTAACCAGTTTGCGAAGATCAATGAGTTGTCAGAAATCAGAAGCCACCCATAGCAGTGCGGAAATCGCATAAACTCTAGGTAGTTTCTCCTCCTAGTCTAGAATATTCTTTTTCATCGCAAAAATACGAATATTGCTAGCTTTCAATTTTGATACCCGTATAAGATTCTTTAGTTTCCCCTCCAATCCCTCGCCTCCTTCTTTACCTTTTTCAGCTTACATCATTTTCCTTTTTCGTGAACTTTTCCTTTATATTTTCATTGTTTTCCTCATTTTCAGCATCTACAATTAAAGATCGCAAGATCAGCGCGGAAATAACGCAAGCCCTGGGAACTAAAAAAGCAGGATAAATTTTATTTGGGTTTTATTCTAGTTTTGTTTTAAAAGAAAATGAAACATAATTTAGTTTAAATAACCACAAAGCAGCGCGGAAATTGCACCAACTTATTATTGGTTTTTCTTTTTTAAAGGAAGACTACTTGGAATGTTCTTCTTTATTAGGTCTTAGACCAGCAGTGCGGAAATCACACAAACTGACCTAAGGTATTGTTAGAGAATAATCATTTATTTGTTTGCTGATAATTCCTAAATTAAGAAAAATATGAAAACGAAACGCAAAAGAAAATATTTAAGAGAGAAAAAAATTATGCGATAAAGAAGAGAAAAAAATTAAAAATCAATTTTTTTCACTCGTGTTTTTGCTCTTTTGTTGTCCGCCCAAGAAGATTAATAACAGAGAGTAATTCAACATGTTTTGTCACAAACATAACCACTTTGGGCTAGAATAGCAGTTCATATGCTTTACAGTTTAACTCAATTCATTTTGTGTTTTTCTGTCAAAGTTTAACAGGTGGCACACATTATCCGTTCAAAATCCAATCAATGAGTTGGTTTTTTGTTTGCAGGGGATTCCCCTTCATTGTTGTCATGACGAGAGTCGGTGTAGATTCGTTTTTTCGCTTAACAGCATTAATCGTTTGCAATTCATCAACTGCGTCAACTCGCATAAACTTTGTTCAGCCCCGACGCGTTTCATCATGGAAAAGCACTGATACGATGCAGTTATAAGTGGTAGTTACTAAGTCCATATCATTGGCCGCTTTCTTAATTATTGCCTCTTGTTCAGGAAGACGGTTCGTAATATATATGTTACGCTTGTTTAAAATGTTTTTCTGGTATTTCAGATTCCTCCTGGCCTTGTATACAGCGTGCTTATCGTCGAAGTATACAAACTTGCAAATGATAGTGGGACAATTATTTCCGTAATTTCCCATATACAAGTGACAAGCTTTAATTCCCCCTTTGAAAAAATCAATTATCGCATCCGTAACGTCATCTACTGCCCTTGCATCGAACGGCGGATTCCACACAAGCAGACTATCCTTGCTAGTATACCTTTCCTGAGCTCGCAGCCTGGTATCTATGTTTAACTACTTAAGTTTAAGACCCGCAACTTCACATTCTTGTTTTTCAACTTTTTCCCGCAAAAAATACAGTTCCGTTTCCATATTACTCACTTTTTTATATCCCGTATTTTCACTCATGGATACTTCTTGGGTTGCAGAAACCTGAAGCTGAGATCCACTGTCGGTTTCCATCATAATAACAAATACTCAAATTGATAACAAAAAAAATCAAGAAAAAATCGCTTTTTTTAAACGTCTGAAATAATTACTCAGCGTGGGAAATTATCTGAGAATTTTTGGTAACAATTAGGGCTTATCAATTTATCAAGGTTTCCGAATTTGCACTAGTTTTGAATTTATTTGAGGCTTGATTCAATTTGAGGGGTTAGATTTGTAATTTTGTCATTCAAATTTTTTATTGTTTGATCTTTTCTTTGTCGTTTCGAAACACGCGAGCAAAAAAACGTTTAGAACATTTGCAAGGTCAACCGACCGATTTCCAAGTTTGATTTGCTCTTTTTCGATTTTTGATCTCTCCCTAAGCATGGTTTAGTCCTTTTTTGGCAACATTTTCTGCGCCGCAGTCAAAAATTTGTAAAAACAGTCCAAAAAAGGCGTTTTTAGGCACTTTTTGGAAAATTTTGACCAAAAAATTGCGTTTTTTCGGCGCGCGGTCCCCTCTAAATCCGCCCCTGTTTCCTGCCTTGGTTTTCTCCCGGATAACCTTGAAAAAATTTCGCCAGTTGAAAAAAGTTTTGCCTTTGAAAAAAAACGATCCGCCCCATTTTTTCGCTTAACACTACCGTTTCGCCACAAAGTCACACCGTTTAACCGATAAATCGTTCCCGTTAAAATATACGCCACCGCACTTCCACGTTACCGGAAGCGTAGTCACTCTTCGTCAAATGTATATAATGCTCGATGCTGTGGGCGATAGGCGCACTGCTGGTAGGATTGAGAATACGGCAACAGTGATAGCAAACTTAGGCCTAAAACATCTAAGCTTTTAAGACTTTTTTGTTCTATTAACGCGTAACTGGCAAATTGAATCGGAAATTGCTCCTAACTGAACTTATGCAAGATATAACAAAAAATTGAAAACTCGTTGAAAGCTAAATGAACCATCCTAACTTTTTAAAATAAAAATTCTGAAAAGTTTTAAGTCCAGCTAGTATGAAATCGAATCAGTTGTAGTAATTTTTTAAGAATTTTGTCAGAAACTATTGCAGTGACCTTGAGTGAGAGTCAAACTATACAATGGTTTGTTCTGATACGTTCATTCTGCTGCGTTTAAAATATCAGTTTTTCCATTTTTCGTCAGATGTTTTGCTACACCTATCATCGAATTATCCATTTTGGTGCAGATTTCCATTAGTTTTCAGCTCTTTTTCACTTTAATGCGCTCCGAAAGTTTTGTTTAATATTCAATTTCTTGTCCATTTGTTTTCTCAGATCCGCATTCGAATACAACAGACTCTAAATGTCAACTTTCTAAAATATGAAGGTCCGAAATTGAGTTTTATAAAATTATCGCAGAGGTCAAAAAGAGCAAAAGTTATTCTAAATAGTCCAATTATTTTGTGAATAATTGTTTGATCTTTTGGGCTAATTCGCTAACAGTCCTTCCAATTGGCCAAATTTTGACCGAAAAGTTAAAGACCTAAAAATCAATAGGAAGAAAAAATTATATGCAATATCCTATTTAAAAGTAGGTCTCAAATGATTTTAAACTTAATTGAATTATTAATTCTGCCTCAAAATTTCCCAATTTCTCTCTCTTTACTTTATAACTTTAGGCTCAACATTTATTTTCCCAATTTCGGATGCCTTGAGAGCCGAGAGAAAAAAAATAAAACGAAATTGATCAACTACTGTTTTAATGGCAAACTGTTTCGCGACTAAGTCAAACGTGCGGAAATTAAACGCAGCGGAGCAAAAAGTTCATCAATTTCCTTGCATTTTGTCATCTCACTTTTCCGGTTGCTTCTCTTAAATCCAAAAAAATGACGTGATTTTTTCATGCACTGAAATGCCTGTAGTTTCATACACCTGAAGCCCCACCCATTTCTGGCCGATTTTACTGTATTTTAAATCCGTCTTTGTTGAAAAAATTGCCTTGGATTTGGCTTTCTGATGTTTCGTCGCTTAAACATTAGGCCGAATGGTGAGTTTACCTGTGATTTTCAGCAGGGGACAAACATTGTCGTCAAGTGATTTGATTGGAAAATTTTTGAGAATTTAAAGTTTAGGTCGATCATTGGCTCAACAAAATGGCGCGACTGCAGTTTGATCACATTTTATTTGCCATTCGCAATCGAATCATTTAGCTTCGGATTTCTGACACTTCTAAACATTTGCCCAATAAACCAAGTTAGAAATAAACAACGATGCATCTGTTACTGATTTTGGTAATAGTTCCTATTCTGTTCATATCACAGACTAAGTCTGACATCAAAATCGGGAAATGTCCAAAAGTGCGTCCTATTTTCGTGGACCAGAACAACTTGGGGGGCAAGTGGTTCGAAATTAAGCGTGCTGATTCAATGGGGGAGCCGGGGAAGTTCTGCAATTTTGTGGATCTGACGTTTGAGTATGATGAGTCAGGTTCGTATCAACAAGTTGTAATTTTTTTCAGTTGTCAATAAAGTTTCAAAAAACTGAACATTTTTTGAATGGTTTTGATGGGAAAATGCTGCGAATAATCGCTTGCGACCAATCGTCGCTTGCGATGAATTGTCGCCTCACGGAAAATTTGACTTATATCTAAACATACTGAAAACTAATGATAAAATAAAAAATTAAAGCGACTCAAGATAATCCGTATTACAAACAAAAAACGCTAACTGAGGAGTCTTTAATAAACAAACTAATTTGAGTTTTTTTTTAAATTTTTGTTTCAATAAATTTTTATTTGCAACTAATGATATTATTGTTAAATTGTTCGGTTAATGTTGAGGTGAAATATTATTGCTTTCAGGCATGGCTCGTTTGCAAGTAAACCAAACTGCTTACACCGGTCGACAATTCAGAAGTACGCTCATATACGCAGAGCAACCCGACACGACTCTAGGCCAACTGCACTTCGACGTTGGTAAATGGGCTCCCCTAGTAAACACCAAAGACCCGAACCACTTCTTCATCTACGTCGACGACAACTTCTCCGTCTCGTATAGCTGCCAGCAAGTCGGCCCAATGCGAATGGAGCTAGCTTTCATTAGTTCAAGAGAACGGTTTCCGGAAAATCTAGACGAAAACATGCAAAGACTCGAACATGTTTTGAAAAGTGAAGATGTTGGTTTGAAATTGGACTTTGTAGACCAGACGAAGTGTCCTTCAATAGAAGAAAATACGATGAGAGAAGAAATAAGAGAAGTAGAGAACGATGAAGAAAGGTCACACGAAATGAACAATAGACTATTGGCATTGTTGCAGAATAGACTTGACAGGGTATACAGTTAATCTATGTATGAAATAGTATAAAAGTAAAAAAGTCTAATAGTTCTTTCTGAGTTGATTTTGTGAATAAGATTTCATATTTTGGATCTTATTATTACAAGGCTACAAATTATTTGAGGAAAATTTAGTTTTCAACCCTATCTGTACTTCAGACCAGCTCCTCAACTACGCTTCTATCATCCTATTGGATCAGCAATTGCCAATGAAAGTTAAACATGTTCGGCCCGAAGATTGCTCTAGAACTAGAAAAAACCGTATAAGTTAAAATTAAAAATAAAAAAGTGAGGTGTGGGATAGCGACATGGTTGGCGTGGGCGATACTTCCCTTGCCCTTGTAAGGATCCACCTTTCAAACTATTTCATGACAACCCCTTTTGGCCGACCATACGCTAAAGTTTTTATCTGGGCACCATTGGCACTTTAAGTAATTTTTGCAAGGTTGTCTTTGATCTATACTAGCGAAGAAAAAAAACAAGGGGGGGGGGGTTCAGCGATGAAGCAACTACTGAAAAGAAAACTAATTTAACCCACAATTTCAATTAATGTCAGAAGTAATTGAGTTTGCGTAAGTATTTGGAATTTTTTTTGCAAGATTATAGGTTCATGGAAATGCAAGCTTTTCATATTTCGCAAGTCGAGATAGAACAAATCTTAGCAATAGGGTCAGTTGTTATGTTTTGGAAATATTTTTGTTTGTTTCGTAGTATCAAACCCGGAGTCAAAATTAAGGAAAAGTTCGCCAGCCACTGTGTGTCGCTTTAAGCATTTCTTAAAGTCAAAATCAAAAAAGTAGACTTTGATTACTGCTTTCTGTGCCGTCTTTCTCGCTTTTTCTATTGACGGTATTTTGGTTTGCTTAATTCCGTGGGATTAATGCAGCAGTTTTTCCCTTTGTGTTTTTTTTTTTCAACCGAAAAAAAGTAGTTTGACATGGTGGTTCAATTTCAACAACTGCTTGAGGCTTAAGGTTCTGAAGTTTGGTTTGTCGAAATTGGCGGGATCAAGGAACTGATAATAATCATTTACATTAGTGACCTTGTGTTGGAGAGTGAGCCCACGCCCATTACTTAAAGACGAAGTACAGCGCCACATAATTGGAGTGGCTTTCAAAATGCGGTGTTTCAAGTGACCATATGGCATCAGAAAAAGTTTTAGGTTGTTATTGTTCCGACTTTCGATACGAAAGTAACGGAATATTTGTGCTCGGGGTGGGTTTTTTTTTCTTCAGACAAATTTCGACTTTTTAACTAGCCACTTTTGACGGAAGTTTTAAAATATCTGTCAAAAAATATTGATGTTTTGAGCTCAAATTTGAAAAGATATTTCACCTGTGATCATTTTTCGTAAAGTTACGGGGGTTTAAAGATTGCATTTTGACCAATTTGGGACAATTAACGCGCGATATTTTGCGCTATTAACGCGTAAGCGGAGAGTTAATCCGTCTTAGAAATCGTTCCAAATTGGTTAAAAGAAGCTTATTTGCCATAATTGGTTTGTTACTAGGAGCGAAATCTACCGTTTTGTACTTTATATGGCGTGTGGGGGGGGGGATGATTTTCATAAAAAATTTCTAATTTTAGAACAAAAAAATTTCATTTTTTTTATTTCATTGAATTTTTTAATATTATTACTGCTCCATAAACCTTAAAAGGCAGTCGGAACATTCAGGGCTTTGCCCTGTTACGAGCAGTCTTGTTAATTTTAATAATGCTTTTTCATTCGTTCGAAAAAGACAGCAAAAAATAACACTAAGTTTGCTCATGCCTGCATTTGGCATAATCATCAATTAAGAAAACAAGAATTTTTGTGATTGTACGTGTAGATTTGATTCTTCAAATTGATTTCTAAAAACACTACTACCACAACTATATATGTCTGTTTGCATAGTTGCTTGATTTTTTTTTGCAAAAATTGACTTCACGATTACGTCTAGTGGATCAAATAACAGGACAGTTCTTAAACATTTTTACGAACATTTTTGAACAATTGTGTTTGGGGAACAAATGTCTTGAGTTTTTTGAGCTTTTTCGACAGTTTTGTTTGGGACAAAAGCATTTGGGAAAAGACTATTTAGACACAAGTGAACCACCTTACATTGTGTTTTGAATATACTAATAATACTAAATGATATGTTTTTACTTTAGTTTTTGTTCCGACTTTCGATACGAAAGTAACGGAATATTTGTGCTCGGGGTGGGTTTTTTTTCTTCAGACAAATTTTGACTTTTTAACTAGCCATTTTTGACGGTATTTTTTAATATCATTCAAAAGGTATTGTTGTCCTGAGCTTAAATTTGAAAAGATATTTCACCCGTGACCATTTTTTGTTAGGTTATGGGGGTTTAAAGATTGCAATTTTGGCCAATTTGGAACAATTAACGCGCGATATATTTCGCGCTATTAACGCGTGAGCGGAGATTTAATCCGCCTTAGAAATCGTTCCAAATTGGTTCAAGAAAGCTTATATGCCATAATTCATATAATAATAGGAGCGAAATCTATCTTTTTGTACTTTATATGGCGTGTTGGGGGATGATTTTCATAAAAATTTTCAAATTTTAGAAATACGTTTTTTTCATTTTGTTTTATTACAGTTAATTTTTTTTGTTATTACTGCTCATGAAACCTCAAAAGGCAGTCGGAACATTCAGGGCTTCGCCCTGATACGAGCAGTCTTGTTTGTGATTTAGTGTGTTTTTGCGAAATTATATTAGTTCTACAGGTTAACATGCAACTAAAGTTGATGACTCTGCAAACTAAACTTTATACCAAACCTGCCACCTATAATGGTATACGAGAACGACTGAATTAGCAGGCACAGTTTAAAATATACTCTCATAAGGATGAAGTTTTAGAAAACTCACATTAGGAAATTTTTTATGCGTGTAGTTTTTGGGTAAAAATAGCTAATAATAGGTTTTCACTGTTAAAAACGTTGTCTCAAATTGAAGCACATTTAGACTGTTAATGCGTTATACGTGGATCAAGTTGTAACTTTAAAGGTCCAATAAAATCTATTTGAATCGATTTTAAATTTTTCTCATACAACCGTTTTTGTCTTTAGCACACAGTGTTTTTTTTGCCACTGGGTTTTAACACAAAAAAAAACTTCATTTTTTTGTATTATTACTTGAAAAAATTTTGAGATCAAATAGCCAATATAACTGATTATAATCCATGAGAATCATTTAGGGTCGATTTAAATATTTTTTGCTCTCTTCTTAGATTTTCGCTTACTGAGATTTAGATAACGACAGAAACAACTCGAAAACAAGTACACCATTTGGAAGCATTGAAGCAAAGATATTCCTCTTCATGGACCAACTTATTAAATCTCCTATTTTGCGTTTCAATTTTTGTTGATATTTCAATAATGAAATAGAAGAAACACGTTTGTTCTAAGCAAGTTTCAGTCGATCAAATGCATTTTCTTAAAATTTTATCCTAGTATTTTAACTGAGCCAAAACAAGATCATAAGAAACGCCGACAGGATTATGAAAATAAGGTATGAACGCAATGAAAGCGCGATTCCGGCCGAAACAAACCTTGGGGCTATTCTCATGATGGTGGAACCAAATGTTGACAATTTTTGAACCAATCAGAATCGTTTTTCGTTCCAATTCGCTGAATGTTTTTTGCGCAAAATTGAGTTAAAATTAGCAAAAAGTGTATTAAGGACAAGTTTTGATGAAAATTTCCTGCAGATATCGAATAATTTTTTTTCAATTTCTTAACATCGGTATATTTTAACATATTCAGTTTATTTCCACAGCGTTTTAGATCTGACACTATTTAAAATATCATTCTCTGTTTATTTTGCTATTGGTCAAATTAGTTTTGATGGCCTCATTGAAATTTGCCTACATTGAAACTCTTGCGATTTCTCTGAGAAGTTTCATTACTCAATTCTGACTGGTTGAAAATAACTGAAAATAAATTTATAACAACCGGCTCTTTCATCATAAGAAACCGACGTCACCAAACATTCCTACGAACACTTAGTGATAAGAAACAATGTCCCAAAAATGACAAAAAATTACAATAGTTACAATTGAAAATTTTGTTTTATATTTCAAGATTATCTCTTCAAAGTTTCAAGGTTATCTCTTCAAAGTAGAGAATAAAATATGTAAAAAAAATGAAAAAATGTTTTTGACGCAGACAATTTGACAGTTGGAAAGCAATAGTTGTCACGAAATTAATTTGAAAATTGATTTTAATTGAAATTGCAATAAAAAACACAGGTAAAGCACAAACCAAGTTCAGCCAACAATACCCGATATGTCTGGGTGAGTACAGACAGGATTAAGATTTTTTTGGTGGCGTCCCTCATGCTTGAAGGACCGAATGCTTGAAATTAATTTTAGCTTATTTTCAGCCAATCAGAATTGAGTATTCAAAATCTCAAAATAAATCGCGAAAATCTCAAAGTAAGAAAATAAATCCAGGTCATTAGTGTTAATATTGACCGATTAGATAATAAGCAGATGAGTTTTCAAGACTGAAAAATTCTTATGATTTTGACCTCATCAACTTGATGATTATCTGAATAGTATTGCGGTTGTAACCCGCAGCTTGTAATATTTTTGATTATTCTCCACTGATTTAATACATTTTCTGTTAATATTGACTTGGATTTTGTGAGAAAGGCATTTAGCCAATAGAAACGCTTAGCGATTTTGATTGGTTCAAATTTTTCAAGCATTCGGTCCTTCAAGCATGAGAACCCTCCCCTTTTTTTTGACTCGCTTGTGTTCGAACATTCTGGCTATTTGCCCTGCTATTTGTTATTTTGCTTAATATAGCCATTGCATTTTTTCAATAGCTCCCTAAGTTCTTAAGACCATGATGGAAAGATTTGTGAAAACATTTGATTACAACTGGGAATTGACATCGCATCACCTCAAATTACTAGAAAAAAAAAATAAACCGAACAATTCCTTTTTTTCCTAATTTCTTCGACAAAATTTAAAAACTAGAACTAACAGATTGAGAGAAGAGACTAACACTTGGAAGATTTACGAAGAAATGGTCAATATTTGTCAAAATTTAACACTTTTTCACAATCTTAGACACTTTCCGACACGTATTTTTCTTTTTTTTTGCCAGACAGCCCTTGATTTTGAATT